GACAGAGAGAGACATAGAGACAGAAAGCGAGAAATCACCCCCCAGGGGGGATGGTCACACCGCAATCCCTTCTCCTCCATTCTCCTCTCAGGATCTTGGGCACGCACGCACACGCGCCCGGCGTGAGTTTTAAGCCACCGGGTCCGGGACACGAACCACGGTCGACTACGTGGGAATCCAGCGACATAGCCATTACGCTAACTGCTGGTTCCCAACCTGTGATTTTTGATACCATGATTATCCTATTTCCCAGAGAGCTATCTTCTTCGGAGGCTCATTATGAGCTTGAGAGAGTGGAGATCGATCACTTAATGATCTTACAGTACCTGGCCCAAAGTAAATGCTCAATAAATTAGTTACTATAGTGAAAATAGAATTTTCCCAAGTGGTGGTAATAAAGTATACTCCCGCAAACAGTAAGAGTTGCAGCTGCTCCATATCCTAGCTAACATGTGCATCAACGGTAGAATGGACAGATCAAGTTCTGTTGCATTCATTCAATGGAATACTACGCAGTGATAAAAAGGACAAACCACTGAAGTACAGCAACACCAATGAGTCTCACAGACATAAGATTGAGCCTAAGCAGCCAGATACAGTTATTTGAAGTGTGTGCTTCATTCAAAGTTTAAAAAAGACAAAATTATGGCAGTGAACATGTTTTCTATCTTGATCAGAATGGTGGTTACATGACTGCATACATACATAGAAATTCATCAAACTGTATAGTTATTTGTGCACATCATTGAATGTATATTTTATACTTTAATTAAAAATAATAAATAGTTCAAAAAAAAAGAAAAAGAATTCAAAGCAAAGCAAGACATCATCCCTACCCACATGGGACCTTCCAGTGTGGAAGGGAAGCTGTCATGTAACTGGCAGCTGCCATGCAGGGTGATGAGGGCTTGGATGGGGAAATTCTGGAGAGCTGTACCTTCCTGTGGGGAGAGGAACATCTAACCTGCTTTGGATGCCAAGAAGGTTGCCTGGAGGAGGCAGATTCTAGGCTAGAAGGATGAATACATTTATAGAAGTAATATTAATAGAAGTGGCCAATGGGCCCTTGTCTGGGGCAGAAGTTACTAATGGCCACTTGCCTGGGGCAGCTCACCTTCAGGTGTTAGGTTTCATTTCATTCTGTGCCTAGGTCAGGTCCAGAGTTCCCAAGCATCAGCTCAGCCTTGTGGAAGATGATAGCTTACATCAAAGGTGGTGAACTAGCTGCTTTGTAGAGAGGTGGGCATCTCTCTCCTAGGGACTTTGGGAAAATTCCTAAACCTCTCTGCACTTCAGTTTCCTCCTCTATAAGATGGGTGTGATTCTAATGGTCCCAACTTCATAAGTATCTGGCACATAGTAAGTGCTCGATATGCGTTAATAGTTATTATTCATGGGACCAGCAGTTAGCGTAATGGCTATGTCTCTGGACTCCCATGTAGTCGACTGTGGTTCAAGTCCCAGACCCGGTGGCTTAAACTCATGCCGTGTGTGTGTGTGTGTGTGCGTGCATGCCCAAGATCCTGAGAGGAGAATGGAGGAGAAGGGACTGCGGTGTGGCCAACCCCCCTGGGGGGTGATTTTTCACTTTCCGTCTCTATGTCTGTCTTTATGGCAAGTGCACTCGCCCTATAGCAAAAACCTCTTTTAAAAAAGCTATTATTCATAAAGAAATTTGGAGGCATTTGCTGAGGGTCCTCTATAGCCTAGTCCCCGGATGGTAGAGGGTAAGGGACAGGAGCCAGGATGTAACAATTAAGGAGAAGGAATAAAGGCGTGGAGATTACAAGAGGGAAGTCCTCCCCAGACAGGATTCTGTAATGCGGGGCCTCTGGATAGCCCTTAGGGATCCAGGAATTGCCTGCTGACAGTGTGGGCATATGATGAGCCTGTGCGCAAGGTATTGGGCAACTAGTGCATAACTTTCACCAGCTCCGGAAAGGCATCTTAACAGAAAGTATCCCTGTTCCTGGCAAAGGTTGATTAAGAAGGTGTGGGCTGTGGCTGGGAGTGGGGCTGGCCACGCAGTGACTGGCTGGATGTGCCAAAGGAGGGCAAGGCTACATGTGGGCATGCTAGGAGAAGGGCCATGCTGACTGCATCCACAGCGTGAACTGCGAGGCAGGGGCCGGGCAGGATAAACAGGACCAGCCTGTCAGCCCCAGAGTGACTGCAGCCCAGAGCCAGGGAATGGGAGTGTGGGAAAGCCCCCGAGGCTTGGCTTTTGTCCTCCCTCAGCCGAGAACTCTGTCTGCACAGGCCTGCCAGGCTAGCCAGAGTCACGGGCCTAAGTCCAGGCTCCTCAAGGCTTGTTTTACCGCTCCGATTGAGGTCACACCTCCATGCATGAACCCCTAGGAGGTGAGACTGGCCAACCAACGGGTGGTTCTAGTCCTGTCCTAACTCCCTCTTACACTGGGGAGCAAGTCTAAGCAAAGCTTGTTTTGAAAGGGGCTGTAATCTTTTTTTTTTTTTTTTGAGAGGTTTTTT